TTCCTTTCTGGAGAGAAAAAAGCCACCTTCTAGCTCTGACACATCACGACCAACCAGGAGCAACCTTAAGGTATGAAGCCTTCCCTCGAGGTGTGGGGGAACTGAGCAGGGGAGCGTTACAACTACTAGCAGCCTTTGGCCTCAGCACAACAGAGAGGAGCGCCATCACCTCTGGCTCTGCTGGCTATTACCTACAATGGGGAATAGCCCCAGAAAAGCTATTGAACTTAAGGGGAAAAAAAAAAAAGAGATAGCCTGCTCTTAAAGGGCCCACACACAAACACACCCATTTCAGAAGGCAACCTAAAATCACCACAAAGAAAGGTGTACAGTGCTTTGGTGTAAAGAGACTCACCTGATAGGCTCTGGGTGCATCTTGGAGAGGGCTGAGCCCTCTCCAGGGACCGAGACATTGGAGGCAGCCATTATTGTGACCTGGTACAGGGATGCTGACACAGACCGTGGCAGATGCCTTAGAGTTCTTCCCCTGGCCTGTTAGCTCAGGGTCTGCCCAAACCCACTGCAGAAGCAATTTAATCCAGCTCAGCCAGGTCAGGCAGCCTCCCCTAGGAACTGGTCCCAGGCAACAGCAGTCCCTCAGACGACTTGAGGACACCCATAGGTGTGGTGCCTGGAACCTCGGCTGCTGGGTGAGGGGGTCCGTCTCTGTGGGACAGGGCATGCACAAGAGGTGGGCCTGCATTGGTGGAGTGTGAGGGGCCTCTGCAGTGGGGCGACTGAGCCCACTTCAGTGAGTCAGGGTGCGCACATGGGGCAGGACTGTGTTGATGGGGTGTGTGGCCCTGCGGGCGGTGGTCTTTCTCAGCTGCAGCAGATATTTGCTTCTCAAATGGCCCCAGAGGGGACTGGCCTCACCTTCCAAAGCCTGAAACAACTGGCTGCTCCCCTGCCTGGGGCCCCCCCACTCAGCTGCAACCCTGAGAGAGCTGACAACAGCCTCGCAGACCAGAGGCCTACAGCAATTGTGAGCCCCTGAGCCTAACAAGGAGCCACACTGGGAACCTACTCACTTACCAGAAATACTGCAATGGACATGTGCTATTAGTGCCTCCAGCAAACTGTGCAGGGCTCCTCAGGCATGAGGAAGTGGCTGAAAGGACCACAGCAGCTACACAGCTGAGCGTTATAACCAACCTTCCAGGGGGACAGCTGAGCCTCCCCGGGCACCTGCAGCAAGAGTAACCCTGCCACAACAGAAGGCCACACAAGGGACACTCCTGGAATATTTGGAACTGCTGACGAGAGGGAAGCACACTGCTGGGCCTCATAGGACATCTCTTACATAAGGCCCTCTCTCCAAGGTCGGGAGATGCAGCTGACCTGCCTAATAGACAGATATACGTATAGAGGAAGAGGCAAAATGAGGAGACAAAAGAATATGTTCCACATAACGGAACAGGACAAAACCCCAGAAAAAGAACTAAATGAAACAGAAATAAACTATCTACCTGACAGAGAGCTCACACAAAGAGTCCTAAGGATGCTCACTGATCTTGGGAGAAGAATGGATGAACTCAGTGAGGACTTCAACAAAGAACTGGAAAATAGAAAGAAGAACCAATCACAACTGAAGAATACAATACTGGAAATGAAAAATTCACTAGACGGACTCAATAGCAGAGTAGATGATGCAGAAGAAAGGATCAGCAGGGCCGGCCCCGTGGCTTAGTGCTTAAGTGTGCGCACTCCGCTACTGGCAGCCCGGGTTCAGATCCCGGGCACGCACCGACGCACCGCTTCTCGGGCCATGCTGAGGCCATGTCCCACATACAGCAACTAGAAGGATCTGCAGCTATGACATACAACTATCTACTGGGGTTTTGGGGGGGTGAAAGGAGGGAAATTGGCAATAGATGTTAGCTCAGAGCCAGTCTTCCTCAGCAAAAAAAGAGGAGGATTAGCGCAGATGTTAGCTCAGGGGTGATCTTCCTCACAAAGAAAAAAAAAGAAAAAAAAAAAAAAGAAAGGATCAGCAAGCTGGATGAAAAACTAGAAGAAATCACCAAAGCAGAACAGATAAAAGAAAAAATATTAAAAAGAATGAGAACAGTCTAAGGGACCTCTGGGACAACATTAAGCACACTAACATCTGTGTTATCAGTGTCCCAGAAAGAGAGGATGGAGACAAAGGGGCAGAGAATCTACTTGAAGAAATAATAGCTGAAAACTCTCCTAAGCTAAGGAAGGAAACAGACATTCAGGTACAGGAAACACAGAGAGCACCAAACAAGATAAACCAAAGAGGCCCACAGGAAGACACATTATAATTAAAATGTCAAGAATTAAAGAGAGAATCCTACAGGCTGCAAGAGAAAGGCAGTGAGTTCTATACAAAGGAAACCCCATAATGCTATCAGATGACTTCTCAGCAGAAACCTGACAGGCTAGAAGGTAGTGGCACAAAATAGTTAAAGCCCTAAAACGAAAAAACCTACATCTAGGAATACTCTACCTGGCAAGTTTATCATTCAGAATGAAAGGAGAGATAAGAAGTTTCCCAAGTGAAAACTAAAGGAGTTTATCACCAAGAAACCAGCTTTGCAAGAAATGCTAAAGGAATTTATTCAAGTGGAAAAGAGAAGACCACAAAAAGGAATAAGAAAATTATCAAAAATAACAAAAGCAATAAAATCTCTGGTAAAGGAAAATATGCGATAAAGGTAGCAGATCAAACAACTTTGAAGCTAATATGAAGGTCAAAAGACAAAAGTATTAAAATTATCTATTCCCATTATAAGAGGGTAATGGATACACATGCACTAAAAGTGGGCGAGATATGATATCAAAAACATAAAATGTGGGAGTAGGAGAGTAAAGAGTGGAGCATTTAGCAACAGGTCAAACTAAAGAGACCATCAACTCAATGTAGATTGCTATATATGTAGGCTATTATATATGAACCTCATGGTAATCACCAACCAGAAAACTATAATAAATACACAGAAAAGTAACATAAAATGACCCAAACATAATACTACAGAAAGCCATCAAAGCACAAGGGAAGAGAACCAGAGAAGAAGGAACAGAGAACTACTACCCAGAAGAAAGTAACAAAATGGCAATAAGTACATTCATATCAATAGCTATTTTAAATATTAATTTGCTGAGTGACTCACAATGCTGTCCACACTGTAGATGTCCATGAATGATGCAGAAACAATAACAGTTTTCATTTAGGGGAGCAAATGGATTTTAGTGAAGAGGTCACTTTTCAAATACGGGACCTGTGAATACTGAGGGTCACTGTGTATCGAATATGGAGACACTCTGGCATTACAAGGCTGTGACAATGAATATTGCCCAATTGTCAACCTATGTGTGCAGTGCTCACATGCTGGAGGGTGTGGACCCTCCTTCTCTTGAAGACAAACAGACACGAAGAACAATTTACACGGGATTTAAAATCCTCCAGGCTTCTCAGGACATTCACCAAGCTCCAAGACTTCAGACTCAAATTGGAAACTATGGGCACTCTAATGATGTATGCAGCTTCTTCAAGAAGAAAAATAAGGGGAAACAGCCCAACTTAATTACTTAGCAAAAAACAATATCATCTTGGGAATGCAATGCAAAACACAAAATGGATAAAACGGAACCTAGAAGAGGATCTCTGCAGGAGTTCCTGGGCAGGAAGAGGAAACCACAGATTCTAACTAGAAACCCCTCCCAGCCTCCCTCTGCACCTGCTCCTGGGCCCAGCCCTGTACTCGGTGGGTCCAGAGCGCCACCTGGTGGTTGTGAGCCCCATCTGGAGCACAGCCCCTCCTGTCTCCCTGCAGGAGGTTTGTGTCTGGGCTCACACTGACTTCCTCTCACTGTGTCTCTTGCACAGTAATACACGGCCGTGTCCTGGGTGGTCACGGAGCTCAGCTGCAGAGAGAACTGGTTCTTGGAGGTGTCAGCAGTGATGGAGATGCGGCCCTTGAAGGAGGGGCTGTAGTTTGTATTCCATGATGAGCTATAATAGCAACCAGCTCCCAGCCATTCCAGCCCCTTCCCTGGGGGCTGGCGGATCCAGCTCCAACCATAACCACTGCTGATAGAGTCACCAGTGACAGCACAGGTGAGGGAGAGGGTCTGCGAGGGCTTCACCAGTCCTGGCCCCGACTCCTGCAGCTGCACCTGGGACAGGACACCTGGGGACAAGGAGAATCAGTCCCTGTCAGTCACATGCAGTCCACCAACCCCATAGACCCAGGTCTGACATCGGAGACACTCACCTTGGGGAGCCATCACGAGGCAAAGGAGAAGACCCAACAGTTTCATCTTCTTCTATACCACAGCTCTGCCTTCCCCAGAGAACTCAGCCCTGTCTGAGGAGAGAGCTGTGAGCTCCCACAACCCAAGTGTGGATTTTACCCTCGAGCTTGAAGAGAAATTTGCATGTGGGGAGCCCTGACCTTATAAGTCGGAAGGGACTCAGTTCAGCGTGCACAGTCCTTCCAGGGTCCCTGTAGGCTATCTCTTTGTTTATCACACAAGGCAAGCTGGTCTCAATGAGAAAGCATAATCTTTATGAAGTTGTTTTGGAAGAAAAACAGTGATGAAAGATTTAAAAAAAATGTGGAAATAATTGACAGACACACTGAATCTCTGCATTGGAAGACTAAATAAAGTTGGTATCTATTTTATCCCACTTTGTAGATTTCCACCCAGAAGAATAATTGTGGTATGTTTTTTTGAATTTGCGAAGAGCTCACTATGTCAAGCTGAGCATGCAGGGTTATATTTTCTCCATTATAATTGGAGAATCGTCTCAGGCTTCTGTCGTGAATGTTTGTCCTTGTATACTCAGCTTGAATAGTCAGCTGACTGTAAAAGACAGTGTCCCGTGGCCTTGTGGGGAGCAGCTCTCAGATATTTCTTCCCAGAGGATTTCCTTTGTAGTAAAAGTAAACTGAAAAATAAAAAATGCTAGAGTTAAAAGATGCTAGTAAGTTCCTAGACATCCTCTCAGTCATCACACAGTGATATATTTCACCATCATTGATTTGATCGAGATTTCTCCCAAGTCATGTTTGCCGGATTCCATTCAACTGCATCAGGGTCTAAAATCAGTGGTGGTCTTAGAGAAATGTTGATTCACCCTGTGGTATCAGCTTTCCTTGTGCTAAGAGACAATGTCCTCTTGCTCTGTGCCTCTCTCAGGGCACCAACATAGCACTGTGTCTCCCTCTTTGTGTAACACATCCACTCACGTGTCTACCCTCAGCCACCATTTCCCCTTCTCTTGATTTGACATGGATTTTACCCCCAAGTTTCCACCTTTGGAAGGATGGTGCAGATACACACTGGAAGCAATTCCAGTCAAGCAAGGTCCTCCCCTCTGTCCACTCCATCCACATGGGGTAGAGTTACACAGATACAGAACGAGTGGGCTATCTTGACCACTAGGCAGTGGAGCTGCATTCACTAATGACCTCACTTCTGTCGGATAGTGTGAATGTGCAATACCTCCCATGAGGAGCTTAGGATTTTGGACCTGAAGGTTTAAAAGTATATTACAGTTTCTTGCTTAGGATCCTTCCTTTTACCTGTCACCCATGTCAGAGAACAGCAGAGAGAGTTGAAGTGGTGTGGGGAGAATTGTTCAATCATACCAGCATCCTCCCCAAAACCTCCCTCCCCAAATCCCCCTGAGAAGTGGAGGAATCTACTGAGTGGGAACCCTCTCTTGACCTCCTTCATGTAGAGATGAGGACAATATCATGGATCATCATCAATGTCTCGGTCTGTCTTTCTTTCCTTCTGTCTTTTGTAATAGTTTTAAGGAGGTATAATTCCCACGTCTTCCATTAAGCCAATTTATAGATGGTCAACTCCTAATCTTGGTGTTACATTAGATTAGTTTTCCTTTACTCAAATGTGTATAAATGGATCATACAGTGTGCATTTCATTTGTATTTGTCTGTGTCCTTTCACTCCACATCATTGCTTGTGAATACCATCATTTTGGCGTGTGTTTCAAGCATTCGTAGATTGTAATGACAGGAAGTATTCTAATGAATGAATACACCACAATGTGTTTGTCTATTAAGCTTCTGATTGATATTGGGATTGTTTCCAGATTCTGGTATTACAAATATAACTGCTGCTCAGCTCTGGGATGTACACAACTAAGGAAAAGTTGTCCTCTTCTTACAACAACAACAACTAAACTGAGTGAATTGCAAATTAATGACCTTGTGTCAACACATCTAATAATTGAAGTTACACTGTAAACAACAACTTTGAAATCTGGAGAGAATCAGGTGGATTCCGGGAGAAACAGCATGGAAATAACAACTTATCTGGGACAGAGACCACCAGGTGGCTTTTAAACTAGTGCAAGAGTAAATGAGAAATACGTACTGGATTCCTTGAAGTGGAGTGTGGTGAAGGTGCTATAGTGATATTCTCAGGGACCAGATAATTAGGGAGATATCTAGGTCCTGTAAAGCCTTGTCCTCCAGGATTGGGGACACATCCCACAGAGCTCCTCCTCTGATATTGTTCTGTCTGGGAAGGGGACCAGCACCTACTGCTGAGACACATCCCGACCCACCTCACCGATCAACACTAAGAACTAAGTAATTAATCTGCAGGGAGAAAGCACCAAAAGCAGTACCCCAAGGCTCTAGTGGAAACCAATAGAAACTGGGAGAGGAACCGAGGAAACTACCAGAGGAAATTTTAGCTCAGACTATGGTGTGTCTTTTAACCCTCTCTACAGAGCAAAAGTTTTAAGTTTACATTCCAAGTTAACTTTTCTTAAGGTTTCTTTCATTGGTCATGATTTTGTATCATCATATATGATTTGACATTTCATTTTTCTTCTGAAATATGTTTTAAGCTGCATATTTCCGTTTCAGAACCACTTTAGGTCTCTGCCATCATTGTTGAGCTCTGTCATTGAGCCTTACTCTATGTCTGCACTTGGTTGGGGACCCGGGAAGAGTGATCGGGGCTCCAGCCTGATGGAATCAGGATCTGGGAGAGATTGTGTGAGAATTTAGAAATAGAAACAGAGGACGATGTTGGGGTGGGTTTCTGTGGGATACTCAAGGGAGGTAGAGAGTGGGCAGGGATCAGGACTCTGTCCAGCTGGTTATCTTTATCCAGCTAGATCTCCTATGGAAGCTGAGAGACAAGGCCCCAAGGCTGCTTTCAGAGACCAGCCCAGAACATAACCCAGCATGTCTGTCATGAGTTCCTATCTCTTTGCTTATCTTCCTGGCTGTTTCAAGGGGAAATGTGAGAGCTGCATCCCCTCAGGTGGGCTGTTTTCCATCCAGGAGACTGAGGGGCAGCTCCAGAAGAGGGCAATCCCTGATGATCAGTGTCCATGCAAGTGGATCATGAGTGAGAACTTACACTGTAGCAGGGAGAACACAGAACTCCATGGGGCAGATGTCCTAGAGGATGCTCATGACACGTGGAGTCAGTGTGTGCCCATCTGAGGGCAGAGAACACGAGCTCAGCACACAGAGTGCCCGGACAGTGCTGCTGTTTTTCAGGGATGATGATAAACCTCAGTGTGTTGTCTTTGTAAAGACAGAAAAGCAGGACCAACAGGAACTTACAGGAAACATTCATAGTCACTGGTGATATCTCATCTACAACATATAGTGTTCTTCCTCAGTTGTTGTCTACACTGAGAATATGAGAAATTAGAACTAGAAGAAGAAAACATGAAATGTCCCTGATGGCAGCTGAGAGCTTGGAAAGGAAATCCCTGATCCATAGGATGCCCATTCCCAACTCCCATCTGCACCTGCTCCTAGGTCTCCTACTTGTAGTTAGTGGGTCCTGAGCGCCCCCTGCAGCCCAGCATCCCGTGTCTCCCTGCATGGAGGTTTGTGTCTGGGCTCACACTGACTTCCTCTCGCTGTGTCTCTTGCACAGTAATACATGGCTGTGTCCTCGGTGGTCACAGAGCTCATCTGCAGGGAGACCTGGTTCTTGGACATGTCTCTGGACATGGACATGCAGCTCTTGAGGGATGGACTGTAGTAAGTGCTACCACTATAATGTATGCACCCCATCCACTCCATCCCATTCCTGGTGCTCTGGTAGATCCAGCCCCAACAGTAATAGCTGGTTGTGATGGAGAATCCAGAGACTGTGCAGGTGAGGGAGAGGGTCTGCGAGGGCTTCACCAGTTCTGGGTCTTACTTCTGCAGCTGCGCCTCGGACAGCACACCTGGAGACAAGGAGCAACAGTCCCTGTCAGTCATGTGCAGTCACAACCATCTCCATAGACCCAGGCCTGACATCTGAGACACTCAACTTGAGGAGCCGTCACCAGGCAAAGGAGAAGACCCAACAGTCTCATCTTCTTCTAGACCACAGCTCTGCCTTCCCAGAGACCTCAGCCCTGTCTGAGGACAGAGTTGTGAGCTCCCACAGCCCAAGAGATGATTTTACCCTTGAGCTTGAAGAGAAATTTGCGTGTGGGAGAGACCTGTCCTTATAAGTGGGGAGGGACTGAGGTAAGACCCCATGATGCCTCTGGGACCCCCAGCAGGTATCTCTTCATTAATGCACAAGACATGATGGTCTCAATGGGACAGCAGTCTCTCTGTGAAGTTAGTGTGGGAACAAGTCAAAATCACCCTTCCCCTTCCTGAGCATAAGAATCAATATTGTAACAGATGAGTGAAGCACAATTTATTTTAATCTCATGTCTCTTTCAAATAGATAGAAAAAGGGATTAATGTTTTCTTCAAACACCTTCTCAAATCTAAGTATAGATTAGAAATGATAAAAATTAACAACAAATACAAACATAGTTTCATAGAAAAATAATATTTTCATGTCACTTTGGCATGAATATGATGACAACTAAAGGCCTGTCCTTCCCAAGACCAGATTTCTTTTTTTTCTGCAGTTTTGACCTGACTTTGGTCTGAACAACTGTCTCCAAAGCACAGGCAACCTGGGATACCTCTTATTTTATCTCTCACAGGTGAAGGGCTTTACTTCAGAAACCAGGCTGTAATGACTGGAAGAAGCGCCTACGTCCTCAATGCAGACACCAATGGGAGGCCGCCTTCTGTGGCATCTGCAGAAATTATACCTGTGGTTGGAGAGTCCCTCCGATCCCCTGAGAAATCCACCTCACACAGGAGGCTATTGACTGAGGGTGGTGGTCATTGCTTTATAGAAAAGTTATAACTTTTCTGTGGATACAGCAGAGATCATCAGTACCTTGTGCATGGAGCTGATATTCAAATAACCATCATGAAAAAGAAGGGAGGGGCTAACTTGGAGGTTACTGGGATCTA